GCTAGCACTCTGTATAGTAGTAAATTTTAGCTATCAAAAAGCATATTGACATAATCTGGATACAGTCTAAATATGGGTAAATGAACAAGAGATATTATTCAGTCTCAAAAACAAAGATAGTGCTGGGTGCTGGTGGATCATGCCTGTAATCCTAACTACTCAGGACACTGAGATCTGAACAACATGATTTGAAGCCAGCCTGGAAATGAAAGTCTGTGAGATTGTTAGCCCTAATTAACCACTAAAAAGTAGGAAGTGGAGCTGTGGCTCAAGGGGTAAGATGTTAGCTCACAGGGAAAAAAAAAACACCTCAGGGATAGCTTAGTTCAAGTCCTAGGACCAGCACAAAACCAAAAACCAAAGAAAACAAAAAAAACCTGGGAGAATATTCTTACAGATGCTATATATAACATGAATGATATTTGTGGTCATTATGCTGAATGGAAGAAAAAAGCCAGTCACAAAATAACAAACCCAATCTGCCTCAATTTCTGTAAGGTGTCAAACTCAGTCAAGTTCATAGGGACAGAAAATAAAGGGTAAGTTGCCAGGGGGAACTGAAGTGGGGTGTGGGTGATAGGAATGAAGGCTATTGTTTTCATAGGAATTGTAACAATGGCCTTCCTATTAAATTACAGGGAGTTTCAAAATATTTATAAGGAAGAGTGTGCTAATTCACACCATAGCTGGCATATACCAGCAAAAGAACTGTGTACTGAAATTTAAGGTGTTGCTGATTAGAATGAATGGGGTTTCTCCGAATGATAATCCTAGGAAAGAAGTATTTATGTAGTTGTTCAAAGAATTACCCAGGAGTGTTATTCAGGACAGGGACCTCATCTCAATCGAAAAGCTGTGTCTGTTGGCTCATGGAGGTCGGCTCAGAGGTGCTATACCAGAGGAGGTAGGAGGATTGTTGTGTGAGGTTAGACTGGGAAAAAATTCAAGACCCTACCTGAGAAAATAACTGAAGTAAAAAAAAAAGTTTGGGAGTGTGTCTTTGGTAACAGATGTCTGCCTAGTAAGCCAGAGGCCCTGAATGCAAACCACAGTACCAAACAAACAAACACAGGAACTGTTTGTCTTGTTTACTTTGTACCTATAATGCTTAGACTACCACTGAGCCACCTTCCCAGCCCCTGAGTACATTTCTTTCTGGACAATGTTACTCCTTCCCTTGCTCTCTGCCAGGTTTTCCCTCCCACCCCCACCCACAGGTTGTATAGTTCATTTTCAACAAGCATCTAGTGAGTACCACTGCTGTATTTGTTTACCCTTTGTCCCTCCATTTCTGGGCTCCCCTTGCCCCCCCAAAAGACAGCTAAATGATCAAACAATACAAAAAGAGACAAAGGGTTTTTAATTTAACATGTCCGTTTATGCGTTCGCTCATCTTGATACATGTCGACCTTTCATCATTCTCCTATCGTTCTCCTATCCCTTCAAGTTCCCTAGTTACATTTTCACAAATATATCTAATATTATGACTGTATTGGCCCATCGTTCCTCTCTCCATTCACAGACCACCCCTTCCCTTGACCTCACCTTCTTTACCCTCAACCAGGATACCAAGATACTACAAGTGCCTGCTTCCTCATATTCATTTTGTTAAACTGTAAGTTAGTTGTTCAAAGGAGTCACACCATTGGAATTCTGTGCTGCAAATACTGTACTTTAGTGAATACATTTATGCTTATATGCATACGAACCTATATATATTTACTTATTTATTTATTCTTTCATTTATTTATTTTTTTCATTTTATGTTGATCCTAGGGCTTGAACTCAGGGCCTGAGCAACTGTCCCTAAGCTTTTTTTTTTTTTTTGCTCAAGGCTCATGCTTTGCCATGGAGCCACAGATTTTTTTTTTGTTGTTGTTGTTGTTTTTTGTCGGTTGTGGGGCTTGAACTCTGGACCTGGGTGCTGTCCCTGTGCTCTTCAGCTCAAGGCGAGTGCTCTACCACTTGAGCCACAGTGCCACTTCAAGTTTTCCAGTGTTTTATTGGAGATAAGAGTCTCACGGACTTTCCTGCCCGGGCTGGCTTTGAACCATGATCCTCAGATCTCAGCCTCCTGAGTAGCTAGGATGACAGGCGTGAGCCACCAGCGCCTGGCTGGAGCCACAGTTTTTTTTGATGGTTAAACAGAACTAAGAATCTCATGGAAGCTGGGTGCTGGTAGCTCACACCTGTAATCCTAGCTACTCTGCAGGCTGAGATCTGAAGCTCATGGTTTGAAGCCAGCCTGGCCAGGAAAGTCCATGTAACTCTTATCCATTTAACTACAGAAAACTGGAAGTGGTGTTGTGGCTCAAGCAGTAGAGTGCTAACCTTGAGCAGAAAAGCTCAGGGGCAGTACTCAGGCCTTGAGTCCAAGCCCCACAGCAGACCACCACCACCACCAACAACAAAGAAGCACTGTTTGGTCTTTCCTGGCAGGTGGGATGCTGGTCCTGGGGAATGAGAGAGGGAAAAGGAAAGCTTACATGGTTGCTGTTGGAATGACTCTTTGCAGCCTCAGTGGAAGAGCCGAGGGTTAATGATGGACTGGGGAAGCTGACCTCAGAGGCAGCGAGGGGAAGGCATGCTCCCATCTGGACCATGGCTGTTGTTGGTGAGGGGTAGGAGGGGCTTATCTCATCCCATCCCTCCCTGCACCTCATCAAAGCAAGGATCTCCTGTCCCAGAACTCTGTAACCTCCAGACCCTGAGAACATCCCCTCAATCCTAGCCTGAAGACTGCTGTGGCTAGAGATCCAGGGCCAATGCTGCCACTTGCTTACTGTGTGACCTTGGGTGGAGTAACGCCTCCCCCATCAACTGAGAGCCTGGCTTCTGGCACAGATATGTGTTTCCAGATGGGTAGGATAAGTGAGAAGAAAGCATTGGAATATGATAAACTTCTTGGAAGAAATCCTCAAGTGTCTCCCCCCCCCCCCTTTTTTAACATGCTCTATTTTTAAAATTAAAGTTTAATCTTTATTTATTTTGGTTTTAAAGTTTTTATTTTGAAAAAAAGTAGAATTTTAATTATTAAGTAGTTGTACAAAGCACTTTTGGTTTTTGAGACAAGGTCTTGTCATGTATCCCAAGCTGGCTTTGAAGTCCTGTCTCAGCCTTCAGAGTGCTGGAATTATAGGCACAAACTACCATGCTCATGCTTCCTGTGTGTTTTAGAAGGAACTCAAAGACCAGTTATCTCTTGGTATCTAAGGGAGATTGATTTTGCAGATGTTCAGACCTCTTATATAGAAAATAATATTCACATATAAATGTACATAACTCATGTATACCTCCCTGTGTTTTTTCAGTCATCTTTAGGTTACTTATAATACCTAATACAATGTAGAGGGCATGGAAACAGCTGTTGTACTATATTGTTTTAGGAATAACAAAGAAAAAACTCTATATTTGTTCAGGACAGATAGAAGCTATTTCCCCTCTCTGTGTGAATATTTTCCATTAATTATTGAATCTTGTGAAAGCAGCACCCACAGATATGGAAAAGTGAAAGATCTGGAAGGGGGTAGGGTTTTCTGTAGTCTCCGAATGAGCCCCCATTTCCCCTAGTCCTAGTTTCTTCCTCTGCCTTCCAGAGTGTGGTGTGAAGTGGGTAACAATCCTCTGGTGGGTGGGGGGGGGCTGTGGCTTTAGGCTGGGATAAGATTGTAGGTAGATGGGTGGCTACAAGATTGTGCTGAGGGCTGGGAAGGTGGCTCAGTGGTAGAGCGCTTGCCTTGCATGCTCGAGGCCCTGGGTTCGATTCCTCTGCACCACATAAGCAAAAAGAAAAAAAGCCAGAAGTGGCACTGAGGCTCAAGTGGTAGAGCGCTAGCCTTGAGCTGAAGAGCTGAGGGACAGTGCCTAGGCCCAGAGTTCAGCCTCCACGACCGGACCCAGAAAAAAAAAAAAAGATTGTGCTGAATTATTTACTATAGCTAAGGTATGCAATCAACCCAGATACCCCTCAGTGGACAAAGGGATCAAGAAAAGATGGTATCATACACAATGGACTTCCATGCTTCCATCAGAAAAAATGGCATTGCTGCATTCATAAGGAAATGGAAAGACATATTAAGCAAAGTAAGCGGACCCAAAGAAACATTGGCTGTATGGTTTCACTCATTTATAATAACCAGAACATGTCTATAAATCTGCAAGTTAATCCAGTGGATAGGAAAAGACAAATACACTTGAACATGATTAATTAAACAGCTTCTAAGCATTTGCACAGTGAGAACAAAGGAGAATATTCTTAGGAGAGGATCATAGTGGCTCAATAGCTATGTGCCTATGACCATATAAAACGATGCTTATCGAAATGAATTCCAAAAAATAGAAACAAGAGGCTTTTTTATTGCACTGTTTGCAGTTATTTCTTTGTTCCTCCTTTTGTTTCCTTTGGCTTATTCCCTGTTGTCACTGTTTTTGATTTCTGTAACCTTTGTCTTATATATCAGCCTGACTTGGGGGAATGGAATGGGAATCAGAGAAATGGTAGAATAAAAGGGTGAACCAATTCAACAGTGACACTCACCAGACACTATGTTGGAAATGAACTTTACAACTTGGGGAAGGAAGGGTGTGTGTGTGTGTGGAAGCCGGAGAAAATGAAGGAGGAGGTAAGACTGTTCAAAAAGAAATGTACTCATTACCTAACTTACATAAAACAGATGAAATAAAACAAATGAAATAAAACAAATTAAAAAAGATAGAAAAAAAGAGATGGTGCTGAATTTCGTTTCTGCATCAGAGATCAAGAACATGGGCCGTTTACTCCTTTTAGAGACAGATGACAAGTGACTGACAACTGTCTGGGCCCCTGGAGGACCTCTCTCTGAAGGGCTATTCCCTCTCTGCCCCAGGTGGGAGCCTTTGACAGGGCTTTGGGAGCACAGCGGGGCCTTTGTACCAGGTCGGCACCACCCCCTGGCAGGCCCCTCCCCGCTGGCAGGCTCAACCTTTACCTGCCCGGCCCCTGCCACCTCTCACCACTCTGCCCGGCTCCTCCTTCTGCTCCTGAAGCTGCAGCTGCAGCGCAGCCTTGCAGCTCTTACCTGTTGTCCTGGAGTTCCCTCCTTCCCTTCCCCCCCCCCCCCCCCGGGGAGGCTGTGTAAGGAGCTTGTTTGTCGGGGTGGACGGACCGGGAGGGACCTATCTCCACCATCTCCGCCATGGACAGCAGCACCTGGAGCCCCACGGCCACCCCTGCACCTATCCCGACCCACGAGCGCATCCGCAATGCCGCCGACATCTCCGTGATCGTCATCTACTTCTTGGTGGTGATGGCTGTGGGACTATGGGTATGTGCGGGGTGAGGGTCCCCGGGTGGGATGAGGGGAGGGGGGCAGCAGGGAGAAGCTGTAGCCTGGCTGAACTGTAACGCATTAATGGCTTGTGCAGAGAGGGAGTGTGGGAATGCCTTGGGAAAGAGGAGAGGAGGCTAAGGGTATAGGGGGAAGGAACGGTTGTTGTTGTTGCTATTATTATTATTATTATTATTTGTGGGGTTTCAACTCAGGGCCTGGACACTTGCTGTCCTTGAGCTTTTTTTTTTTAGCTCAAGGCTAGAGCTCTACCACTTTGAGTTAATTGGAGATAAGAATCTTCTGGACATTCCTGCCCAGGCTGGCTTTGAACCTGATCCTCAGATCTCAGCCTCCTGAAAAGCTAGGATTACAGGCATGAGCCACCAGCGCTGGGCCAGAAGTGGTATTATTTTTGCAGGGGGACAAGCAAAGGTGAACAGAAGAGTTAAGGGTGCTGAGGGGAGCCTGCCAGGAAGGCCCCAGGGGATCTGGAGAGCAGGGGTGGGGGGGCTGACCGGCAGGCAGAAGATTGCATCCAAGGGGAGAAAGAGGAAGGGATGGAGGCAGGTTTGAACCACAGGGATGGTCCCTTTGGGAACCTTCATAGAAAGCCCATTTCCCATGGGAGAGAAGGAACAATGGAGCCACAAACTCCCAGCCTCACCCCATTTATGGAGAATGCAGATTACGCATCCAGCTACTGCTGAAGGCTGACCCATCCACTGGAGTTAAAAGATGGGGAAACTGGGTGGAGTACTAGGAGAAGGAAGACTTGAGGATGGCCAGGTGCAGGGAAGGGTGGGGAAGGAAAGAGGGGGGAGGGCGGAGAGGAGAGGAGAGGAAAGTGTCTATGTCTTCCTTGAGACTTGGGACATAACAAACCTGAGAAACTTGTTCTCAGTTACTGGGGACTTGGAACGCTCATTAATGACAGATAGTGGCACACCCAACCACTAGAAAACAGGTGTGAATATTCCAGGGGCTGTCCTGGAGGGGGGAATGGCAGGCAGACAGGTTGCTGGCACAGCCAGCTGGTGCATTGAACTCTACGCTTAGAGCAGAGGATGGTGGACCTTAACCCTTCCATGGCCTGGAGCTTGTTTTCAAGGATAAAATGATGTGGAAGTATTGAAGTATTCCACCAATTCCATCAGTATTCTCAGCTTTCCTGACATGGTGGAAAATGTTCATCTAGGAACAAGACTACTTGCCTTCTGTCTCCCTCCCTCTTTTTTGTGCTCTCTCTCTCTCTCTCTCTCTTTCTGGTCTTGAGCTCAAGGCCTGGGTACTTACTGTCTCTGAGCTTTTGTGCTCAAGGCTGGTACTCTGCCACTTGAGCCACAGCACCACTTCTGGTTTTCTGAGTGGTTTATTGGAGATAAGAGTCTCACAGAGTTTCCTGCCTGGGCTGGCTTTGAACTGTGATCCTTAGATCTCAGCCTTTTGACTAGCTGGGATTACAGGTGTGAGCTAACATGGCCGCTGGCAAGACAACTTACATTTAATAACAGCTTTCACATAGTTTAAACCAAGAGATGTAGTCACTTTCTGCAGCCTCAGTTTACCCAATTGTGACTTAGGTTGGGCACCATCACTTCTATTCTTAGGACTTGCCAAGGATGTTATGAGAATTTTCAGAGATGGTTAAACAAGTGTTTTGTGAACTCTAGGAATTAAAACTCACAAACAAACAAACAGCAGCAACAACAACAACAAAAACTATTGCTGCCTGGTTCTGGTAGCTCATGTCTGTCTTCAGTCTTAGCTACTTAGGAGGCTGAGATCTGAAGATCACAGTTTAAAGCTATCCTGAACAGAAAAGTCTGAGAATCTTATCTCCAATTAAACAGCAAAAGTTGATGTGGCTAAAGTGTTAGACTGTCTACCTTGAGAAAAAAATAAAGCAAGAATGTGGGGCCCTGAGTTCAAGTCCCAGTACTGACACAAAAATACAAAACAATGAACAGGGTATGATATAGAGTCTGAATAATTGTTGTTATTTTAAGTAAAATGGGCAAAAGCAATAAGCAGTCAGCATCTTCACACAATGCCACAAGACAGGGAAGATAAGAATGCAAGTCTCTATTTAATAGATGACAAAATTAAAACCCTGAGTGGTTGGGATTTGCTTTAGATTTTGCAATAGATATCCTGGTACTAGAGCCCAGGGAATTTGACCCCTGGTTTTCTTTCTTTTTCTTGTATTTTGTCAGTTGTGGGGCTTGAACTCAGGGCCTGGGCACTCATCCTGAGCTCGTTTGCTGAAGGCTAGCGCTCTACCACTTCGAGCCACAGCTCTACTTCCAGTTTTTAAGTGTTAATTGGAGATAATCCCATGGGAACTTTTCTGCCTGGGTTAGCTTTGAATGGTGATCCCTAGATCTCAGTCTCCTGAGTAGCTAGGATTACAGGCATGAACCACCAGCAACTGGCAATAGTCATCATTTTTGCCTTTTTTGGGGGTTATGTGGTTTTGAACTCAGGGCCTTGTGCTTTCACTTGGCTTTTTACTCAAGTTTGATGCTCTACTATTTGAGCTCTACTTCTGGATTTTTGCTGGCTAATTGGAGATAAGAGTCTCTTACATTTGTCTGCTCAGGCTGGCTTCAAACTGCAATCCTCAGATCTCAGCCTCCTGAGTAGCTAAGATTACAGGTGTGTACTACTAGCTGCCTCCTCCTCCTCCTCCTCCTCCTCCTCCTCCTCCTCCTCCTCCTCCTCCTCCTCCTCTCCTCCTCCTCTTCCTCTTCCTCTTCCTCTTCCTCTTCCTCTTCTTCTTCTTCTTCTTCTTCTTCTTCTTCTTCGTCTTCTTCTTCTTCTTCTTCTTCTTCTTCTTCTTCTTCTTCTTCTTCTTCTTCTTCTTCTTCCTCTCCTTCTTCCTCTCCTCCTTCCCCTCTTCCTTCCCCTCCCTCTGTCCCTCCCCCCTCCCCCTCCCGCTTCCCCCCTTCCTCCCCTCTCCTTCTCCCCCTCTTCTCCCTCCGCCTCCTCCTTCCCCCTCCTCCTCCCTCTACTTTTTCCCCTTTCCTCCTCCCTCCTCTTCCTTCCTCCTCACCCCTCCTCCTCCCTTCCTCTTCCTTCTCCTCCTCCTCTTCTTTCTTTCTTTCTTTCTCTCTCTCTCTTTCCTTGGAAAACATTCTCTTTTGCTTTCTTCCTACCCCTGCCTTCAAGTTACTGTCTAAGTCATGTCAGATTCCTTCTTTCCTTACCTATCTTCATAAAGATGGAGGCTTGAAGTTTTATTGACTTTAACTCTCTTCATCCTGCACTTACACTTATTTATTTTTATATTTTTAAAATTTAGCATCAATTAGTTTTATTAATTAATTTCATTTTGGTATATGTCTATAAATGTGCACAATGACCAGGCTCAACTCTTTCTGTCACTGTCTTTCTCCTCCCTTCCACATTCCCTAAATCAAACATCTCTTTTGTGAACCATGTGACAAAGTCATTTCACTCAGTTTTGAACAGACTTCACATGAGTATATCTAGCAGAAATTTTCTTCAGTGGGACAATTCCCATTTTCAGGCAGCAGTGACTGACAAGAAGTCCTTCCTAGCACTCAACTCAGACCTGACCTTTATTTTTTATTTTATTTTATTTTTTTGGGTCCGGTTGTGGGCCTGAATTCTGGGCCTGAGCACTGTCCCTCAGCTCTTCAGCTCAAGGCTAGCGCTCTACCACTTGAGCCACAGTGCCACTTCTAGCTTTTTTTTTCTGCTTATGTGGTGCTGAGGAATCGAACCCAGGGCTTTGAGCATGCAAGGCAAGCGCTCTACCACTGAGCTACCTTCCCAGCCCATGACCTTTATTGTTATTCATTCATTCATTCATTCATTCATGCTGGTCCTGGACCTTGAACTATGAGCCTGGGTGCTACTCCTAAGCTCCTTTTGCTCAAGGCTAGCCCTCTACCACTTCGGCTACAACAAACAGCACTACTGCTAGTTTTTTCTGTGATTCATTGGAGATACGAGTCTCACAGGCTTTCCTTTGGCTTTGAATGGTGATCCTCTGATCTCAGCCTCTAGCTAGGATTACAGATGTGAGCCACTGGTACCTGGCTCTCCCACTTTATATATTGGAAGAAAACAACTATACCCGAATCTTCTGCAGGCTCAATTTCTTCATCTTCTTAACTGGTTCTTCATTTAAACAGACGTTTGAGATTTCTTCCTTTAGCTCCATGATTTTGTTAGTTCACTGAGGAAAAAAAATAACCTCCAAAAACATCGTGAGTCAATAGTTCTGCAAAAGAAGAGCACAGGAAGCCTTTACTCTTTGCGATTGTGATTTCCTTCTCACCCAGCTCAAGGGTGGATAAGTGAATCTCCTGTCATGATTTACAGAGGGAGATTTGGAATTTCCTTTGTACCACTCTTGATCATGAGACAACATCTTTCTGGGTGCATTTGCTGGGTCTTTTTTTTGTTGTTGTCAGTCGTGGGGCTTGAACTCTGGGCTTGGGTGCTAACCCTGTACTCTTCAGCTCAAGGCGAGCACTCTACCCCTTGAGCCACAGCACCACTTCCAGTTTTCTAGTGGTTAATTGGAGATAAGAGTCTCATGGACTTTTCCGCCCAGGCTGGCTTTGAACCATGATCCTCAGATCTCAGCCTTCTGAGTAGCTAGGATTACAAGCATGAGCCACCGGTGCCCAGCATTTACTGGGTCTTATTAGCGATTAAAAATATAGTAATATGGTAACACAAAGTAAAACAACAACAATAGAAGACTAAAGGCTTTGAAGGTAGAAATGGAGTTCTCAGGGTGTTCAGAGGAGGGAGGTTATTTGTGCTTGGAGGACACAGAGGAGATTTCCCTGGGAGAATTCAGGTAACTGTTCACAAGGAAGGTGGCATTTCAGGGTAGGGAGGATCTGGACTTGGATCCTCACATCTCCTTACTTTTGTCCAACTCTAAGACTTTATTTTTGTCAATTGTGAGGCTTGAACTTAGAGCCTGGATTCTGTCCTGGAACTTTCCTGATCAAGGCTAGCACTCTACCATTTTGAGCCACAGTACCCCTTCTGGTTTTCAGGTGGTTAATTGGAGAGAAGAGTCTAATGGACTTTCCTAACCAAGCTGGTTTCAAACCTTGACTCCTCAGATCTCAGCCTCCTGAGTAGCTAGGTTATAGACATGAGCCACCAGCACCTGACCCTAAGCTCTTTCCTGAATTATTCCAGCTTCACACTCTAAACTCTGTTCTCACATCTTTTTCCAAGTTTTACATTACCAAGACCAGCTGAGAAATATTTGCATATGGGTCCCAAGCCCACTTTTTCCGTCTTTCCAACCATGACTGGTATTAATCAACCTTCTTGGACTTTAGTATGACCTTTCCCCTGCCAACTGCTAGAGGGTGAGTTCTTAGGGTTTATTTCTGTTTCTTCTCTAGATACCTTTTCTACTTCTTAGATATTTTGTTCATCTTGCTATTCCCAGGAAAACTACTACAAGCTTTCAGAATATAGACTGAGGAAGGGGCAACCCTGTCAGATGTTGAGAAAGTCTTGAGACATGCTCTTCCTGCTTTCTAGGATGCAGTGGTACCCAGAATATCTGTTGACTGATTGCATGTAGAAAGCTCCTGCTTTGTGTCCTTCAATCTGAACTCTAGCAGATCTGCCACCTGTTGCAGACATGTTTGCTGTGTTTATAATTGCCTGAAATGTCACCATCAGAGGTGAATTCCTTTGGATCAGTGATGTTCTTTAGCTTCTGTGATCCCTTTGGAAGATACAAACACAACTGATACAGTCATATTACCAATCCATGATTTTCATGAGCCTTCTTGAATGCCTGCAATTGACCGGTGTAGTCAATTGCTAAAGATTAGCTAGCATCAAAGAGAGAGGAAGGGTGAAGAAGGCTAGAGACCTAAGGCAGAGGCACTGTCCCTATTTTGTTCTGGAACACTAGGTCTGGGCCTGAGTATGACTTGGATCAGGAATAAACTACAGGCTGATAGACAACAATTCCATGATAGGCAAAAGTACCATGAGAAGTTTTGGTCATCATGTATTAATGATATATGCCATTTTTTTCTTACTTCCAAATTTTCAGTGGCTCCCTGTGGCATGTGAAAAAATCCTTCCTTTGCTTCCCCCCCTCCTTCCCTCCTTCCCTCCTTCCCTCCTTCCCTCCTTCCTCCCTCCCTCCCTTCTTTCTTTCTTTCTTTCTTTCTTTCTTTCTTTCTTTCTTTCTTTCTTTCTTTTCTTTTCTTTCTTTCTTTCTTTCTTTCTTTCTTTCTTTCTTTCTTTCTTTCTTTCTTTCTTTCTTTCTTTCTTTCTTTCTTTCTTTCTTTCTTTCTTTCTTTCTTTCTTTCTTTCTTTCTTTCTTTCTTTCTCAGCATTAGAGATCCTATGTGTAGTGTCACTTCTCTCCCTCTCCTCCACTCTTGTGTGACAGCCAGTTCCAGCGGCTGACATTCTGCCAACACTCTTATACTAGTTACAATCAATTGCAGAGTAAGGATTCCTGAAAGTTCCTACCATCTCTCAGGGTAAAAGCTTTGAATTGGGTTTGAATGTCTGGTCCTCTAGGTTATATTTATATGAGCCCTTTGCATTCTTATGGCATTTTTCACTTTTTTTTTTTTTGTACTGGGGTTTGAACTCAGGGCTTTTGTGCTGTCCCTTATCCTTTTCTTCTCAAGGCTAGTGCTCACTATAACTTAAGCTACAGCTCCGCTTACAGTTTTTTTGTTGGCTAATTGGAGATAAGAGTCTCACCAATTTTCCTGCCTGGGCTAGCTTTAACCTCAGTCTTCAGATCTTGGCCTCTTAAGTAGCTAGGATTACAGGCATGAGAAAAATAGCACCTGGCCATTTTCATGTTTTTGGTGTCAGCTTTGTAGAGATATAATTAATATACCAAATAGTATTTTTTTGAAGTGGTGGTACTGGATATTGAACCCAGGGCCTCATCTATGGTAGGCAAATAATCATTTGGGCTATGCTACCAGCCTTTGTTTTGTTCTTTTGCTGCTTAGCTAGACTTTTGCTCATGTACCTGGGATTGGCTTCAGATTCTCAAACCTCCTGGCTCTGCCTTTCAGTAGCTGGGATTACAGGTGATACATACCACCACATGCAGCCCCATCTAGTACTTTTTAAAAGGGTGATAGTTTATTAGGTACTTTGATATGCTTGTAAGAATGCATATAAAAATATTTTATCCCTTGTTTCACACATGAGCAAATAGATCTAGGTGGAGTGATTGGCTTGAAGCCCCATGGTAAGCTAATTGCAGTGCTAGCTGTCCAGCAAATTGTTCAAGACTTTTGAATCTCAGTTTCCTTGTAGGCCCCTGCCTCTTAGAGCTGACTGTGGTTGAGTCTCCAGAAAAATGAGGAATGTGCAAATGTTTCAGAAAACAGAGTGGGTTACAGGAAGTAACCAGTGTGTGGGGAGGTGTGTCCTTTTGCCGGACAAGGTCACTCTTCTGGTTTTCTATTAAAATTTTGATTCTTTCTTCCTCAGGCTATGTTTTCTTCTAACCGAGGAACTGTTGGAGGTTTCTTCTTGGCAGGCCGCAGTATGGTTTGGTGGCCGGTAAGTTTTTTTTTTTTTTCCTGAGATGTTTGACTATAAGACTTCCTTTACAGACCCATTTTCTTGTTGGCATTGGGCGATGGTTATTTCTTCTCATCTGGACACTTGATAATGGGTCTTCTGCTCAGCAGATCTCTAGTACATCCTTAATTTCTTTTTTCTTTTAGTACTTTAAATATACTCTTCTTGAGGTAAAGATTTTTTTGTTTTGCTTTATTTGACCTATTTTACTTGGCATAATTTCTGACATGTAACTAGAGACATTTTATTAAAAATGAATAAAACACTTAAAAATAAGATAAAGCATTTGAAAATTTCTAAACTCTTAGAAAATGAAAAATATAGTTTTGAATAACCCGTGACTTGGAGAGTAAATTTCTTTTCTTCCTTTTATTTGCCAATCCTGATGCTTGAACTCAGGGCCTGGGCACTGTCCTTGAGCTTCTTTTGCTCAAGGCTAGCACTCTACCACTTGAGCCACAGCACCACTTCCAGCTTTTTCTGTGTATGTGGTACTGAGGATTTGAACCCAGGGCTTCATGCATGCTAGGCAAGCACTCTACCACCAAGCCACATTCCCAGCCCTGTAGAGAAAATTTCTTAAAAGGCACTGAAGAAATTCACTGAGCTGAATAAACATGAATGTATACACAGATTAAAAATGTTGTCATGTGCAGCTACAATAGTACTAAGAGAGCAATTTGTAGCAATAGATGCTTACATTAGAAAATGAAGTTGAAATGATGGAAAATAAAAAAGAAGTTGCTTTCCTTGAGCACATAGCCACATTCCAAGTGCTTACTAGCTATTTGTGGATAGTGACACTGCAGATCTTAGATATTGGGCAGGGAAGATCTAGAACATTCCTTTATTGTAGCACATTCTATTGTATGGGGCCACTGTATGCAAGGGAGATTTGATGAATTAGAGTGGAACAGGACTTTGCCATTAAGTTGCAGTTTTTAAGATTTAACTTAATTAATTAATTATTATTTTGTGCTTGTACTGAGCTTGAACTCAGGGCCTGATCACTGTCCTTTAGCTTTTTCCCTCAAGGCTAGTGCTTTATCACTTGAGCCACACCTCCACTTCTAACTTTTTGCTTGTTAATTGGAGATAAGAGTTTCACAATCTTTCCTAGATGGCTGGCTTTGAACTATGATCCTCAGATCTCAGCCTCCTGAGTATCTAGGACTGTAAGCATGAGCCACTGGTATCCATCTTACTTCAATTATTTTGAAAACAGAGCACCCCATCTAATACTTTGGTGCCCTCCTGTAACATCTAACACTTCAGTTTGTACTGAACCTCTTCTCTCCTCCCCACACAACCAGAAGAAACATGCTACTTTCAAGATAAATCATTGCACTTTTAGATAGCTATGCTTCTTTCTATTGACTATAATCAAGCTGGAATGTTATCTCTTTATGTAAAGAGGACTGATTTAGTGGGGATGGGAGGAAGGTCCAGTGTCTAATCTCTGGGTTCGAGAGAAGCCCATGAGGGAGGTGATGTGGTGTAGAGTCATGATTAGGACATTTGCCTGTTATATAAGCTCTGGGAATACATTCTAGATTTTTTTTTTTTAATTTAAATTTTTGCTAGTCCTAGGGCTTGAACTCAGGGCCTGGATACTATCCCTGAGCATTTTTTGCTCAAAGCTAGCATTATCCTACTTGAGCCACAGCTCCATTTTTGGATTTTTGCTGCTTAACTGGAGATAAGAGTCTTGTGAACTTTTCTGTCCGGGCTGGCTTTGAACCATGATCCTCAGATCTCAGCCTCCTAAGTAGCTAGGATTACAGATGTGAGCCAGCGGCTCCTGACAACACATCATGTCAGAAGCAGCAATGATGTCTTTCTTCCTGTTAGTGCCTGAGTCTGGCTTGCCATTGATAGTCAGTTGATGAGAGAGATTAGCTTTACCTAAACAGGTAGGGCTCAGTGGTTTACATGGAGTTTCTCATGGGTTTTGTTTTTCTTTACTCATGACTCAGGATTGGATTATTCTGACCAATAAAAAAAAACAGACCACTGTTTGTCTTTTGTGCAGGAGTTACTGCTTCCTTATTGAAGCTGACATTCGATTCTTCTGCCAGAGGTTGTTTATGCCATTACATAAATAGTTTCTAAAGCGTGGCCAGGTCTGAGAACCACAAGAGATAAGGCAGGTATAGGACATAATATTGTAACTAGCTAGTGACTAGCCAATGGACTGCTAAGAAATGAGAAGGCAGTGGTTTCTTTAAGTTGCCAAGGCAACTTCCCCAATGCAACTCTTTCTGGTACAGGGCACTTAGCAACCTCCAGTGATGGAAACTAGTGGGTACCTGAGACTGTATATATTAAACTGTGTAGATTTAACATTCAGATTAATTGATCATGTGACTACATTAATACAGTTTATATGGGTGATCTATTTATGCCACTGAAAAATCATTAATTACAACTATACATGGCCCACATTTAAAACAAATGAATGATTTACTGTAATATGAATAAGTATATATATATAGAAGTTATGTTAATTTTTCATTTCCTTTTTGCTGTCTCCTGGAGATTGAACTCAGTGCTTCAGCACTTTTGTCTGGCTATTTCTGCTAAAGATCGATGCTCTACTACTTGTACCATAACACCACTTCCAGTTTTTTTTTCTGGTTAATTGGAGATAGTCTCATGGACTTTTCTGTAAGAGTTGGCTTTCAACCTCAATCTTCAGATCTTAGCCTCCTGAATAGATAGGATTATAGATGTGAGCAACAAAGGTCACTTGGGTATTTCTTTTTTTTTTTTTTTTTTCTGGATCCGGTCGTGGGCCTGAACTCTGGGCCTGGGTGCTGTCCCTCAGCTCTTCAGCTCAAGGCTAACACTCTACCACTTGAACCATAGCACCACTTCCGGCTTTTTTCTTTTCTTTCTTTTTTTTTTTTTTTGCTTATGTGGTGCTGAGGAATTGAACCCAGGGCCTCAAAGCACTCTACCACTGAGCCATCTTCCCAGCCCTTGGGTATTTCTTATAATCAAGCAATGGCATTCTATAGGATAAGTAGCAATGCTGTTTCTTTTTAAATACATTTTCTTCATGTGATATGTCTTCATGATAGTGTCTTAGATACAATCAAATGTGTTTGTACTTGAACTCAGGGTGAACACAGGGCCTAACACTTGCTTGGCTTTTTTATTTATTTTATTTATTTTTTGTTTTTCACAGCTGGTGCTCTACCACTTGAGTCTTGCATTTAGTCCAGCTTTTTGCTGATTAATTGGAGATAAGAGTCTCTTTGATTTACAGCTTGGGCTGGCTTAGCTTCTCGATCCTCAGATATCAGTCTCTCGAGTGGCTAGGATTCCAGGTGTCATCATCAGCTGTTAACCTGATCGCTTCCAATGTAGGGGGAGTAGACAGAAAAACTTCCAGAAGAGAGTCCCAGGGGATTTAGGGGAAGGAAGACAGTTCTGGAGGGACTTGTTTTGCCCTGGGTTGATAATCTAGGCAGGAAGGACTCCAGAAAAGCAGAGAAACCAGAGGAAGCTTTGACAGAGGAGAGAGGCAGGAGGTGGTAGGCAGTCCTTGATTTTAGAGGGGGCTATCGTGAAAATCCAAGGGCTCAGGAGAAAGGCCTTGTTCCTAAAGTTAGTGAGTCTTAAAGACAGAGGTTGTACCTTGGACAAAAGTGAGGGACCATCTGAGGGGCAGAGAAGGGACTCTGGGACTGAAATTGCAAGAGGAATGAACTTTCATTAGGAGCCAGGCCAGGAGCCTCCAGGAGTCTGAGCTGAGCCTGAGTTGAGCAAGCTCCACGCACTGATTCACATGACGTGGTGCTGAGGTAACTTAGCACTGGCCAGTGGGTCGGGATTTCCCTTGTCTGTGGCTCTGTGGTTTGGCTCCTTGTACTAAGAGCTGTCGGAGGACAATGGGAGAGCAGGAAGACCGAGGAAGTTCACAGCCCAGACATGCAGGGGAATTCCCCACTCCTTGGCAGCAGGAATGACTAAGAAGCCAGGCCCGGGGCTGGGAAGGTGGCTCAGTGGTAGAATGCTTGCCTTGTATGCATGAGGCCCTGGGTTCAATTCCTCAGCACCACATAAGCAGAAAAAGCAGGAAGTGGCACTGTGGCTTAAGTGGTAGGGCGCTAGCCTTAAGCTGAAGAGCTGAGGGACAGCGCCCAGGCCCAGAGTTCAAGCCCCATGGGGAAAAAAAAAAGAAAAAGAAAAAGAAAAAAAAAACGAAGCTAGGCCCCAGTCACACATGCAGCACAGGCCAGAGGAGGGCTGTGCTTTGGGAAGGGAGTTTGGTGATACTTTTACCTTGAAGGAGCTGGCTCCATGGGAATGTCAGGTTCCACAGGGCTGAGCCAACCCACTGATAATCCCTTGGCTGACAGAGGCAAGCATTCCACAGGGTGGAGGGAGAGTGGGAACCATACGAAGAGCCAAAGGATTTGGCTTTCCCACTTTGTGACACTGGGTAATTCATTTAACCTCTGCGAATCTCAAGAGGCTCTTCTGTAATGTGAGACAGTCAGATGAGGGAATCACCAAGGCTCTTTTCAGAAGTAAAATTCCAAGATTCTTGGTGGCAGGACAGGGGTACAAACACAAGAAATGAATACAGGCTTGCTACCTACTTGTAAGGTATATTAAATAGGTAGGTTTCATTAGGTAGCCGATGAAGAGAACACCAGGAGCTATTCAGGCAGGAGAAGAAGTTTATGTTTTATTTATTTATTGTGAAAATACCGTACAGAGGGGTTACCATTACATGGGCAAGGTAATGAGTGCATTTCTTATCAAGCATTGTAGCCTCCTCCTTTGTTTCCCCTTCCCATCCCTTCCCATCTCCTTCCCCCTCCTCCCCGCTGTTCTCCCCTTACTCCCTGTCCCATATAACACCTTGTACATCTCATTGTTGCAATGGGTCCACCTGTATCACTATTTAAACAATTAGTTTTTTTCCTTCCCCTCCATAAATTATACCAACATCAAATACAGTGAAA